CCATTTCCTCATCTGTAAAATGGAGGTAACAGGTTCCTCCCCACCTTCCATGGCTAGCGTGAAGGTTACATGAGAGAAGATGTATGTGATATATTGTGCAGGCCCTCATCACTTCTTACCCAAACTATTGCAGTGAGTTAGTCTTTTACCTCACCCCAGTCCAACTATCAAAGTTATCTTCCTAAAGTGCATCTGACCACCATTCCCATATTTGATAAGCTCTAGTGGCTCCCCATCTCTACCAGAATTTAACATCCTGTTTGACGTTCAAAGACCTTCATAACTGGGCCCTTTCCTACATTTCCAGTCTCCATATATTGTACTCCCTTCCACATACTCTGCGATCCAGTGACATTGGTTTCATTGTTCTCGAACTCTCTCTCCCATCTCCATGCGTTTTTATTGACTGCCCCCCAGGCTTGGAATTCTTTCCTCCATCTCTGCCCCCTGGGTTCCTTCAAGTCCCAGCTAAAAAATCTCCCCTTCCACAAAAAGCCTTTCCCAATCTCCTTTTGTGTTAATAATGCCTTCCCTCAGCAGAAAACTGGGGATTTTTACAACCAGTGTCTCTGATAAGGGCTTCATTTCTTAAATACATAGAGAACTAAGTCAAATTTACAAGAATATAAGTCATTCCCCAATTGATTCATGGTCAAAAGAGATGAACAGGCAGTTTTCAGATGAAGAAATTAAGGCCATCTATAGCCATACGAAAAAAATGCTCTAAATCACTATTGATTAAAGAAATGGAAATCAAAACAACTCTGAGGTACCACATCACACCTATCAGATTGGCCAACATGACAAAACAGGAAAATAAATGTTGGAGATGTGGGAAAATTGGAACACCAATGCATTGGTGGTGGAATTGTGTACTGATCCAACCATTTTGGAGAACAATTTGGAACTATGCCCAAAGGGCTACAAAAATGTGCATACCTTTTGACCCAGCAATAGCACTTCTAGGGCTGTATGGCAAAGACATCTAACAAAAGGGAAAAGGACCCACATGCACAAAACTATTTACAGCAGCTTTTTGTGGTGGCAAAGAATTGGAAATTGAGAGGATACCCATCAGTTGGGTAATGGCTGAACAAGTTGTGGCATATGAATGTAATTGGAATACTATTGTGCTATAAGAAATAATGAGCAGGCAGACTTCAGAAAAACCTGGAAAGACTTGTATGGACTGATGCTGAGTGAAGTGAGCAGAATCAGGAGAACATTGTACACAATAACAGCCACAATATGTGATGACTAACTTTGATAGACTTAGCCCTTCTCAGCAATGCAAGCATCTCCAAAAGTCTCAAGATGGAAAATGCTATCCACATCCAGAGAAAGAACTATGGAGTTTGAATGTAGAGCGAAGCACACTATTTGCTTTTTCCCCCGTTTCCTCTTTCTTGTGGTTCCTCCTATTGGTTCTAATTCTTCCTTAAAAAATGACTAATGTGAAAGTATGTTTAAGAGGAATGTATATAGCCTAGATCAGATTGCACGCCATCTTGGAGGAGGCAGGAAGGGAGGAGAAAAATTTAAAACTCAAAAGCTTATGGAAGTAAATTGTTGAAAACTAAAAATAAATTAATCTTAAAAAAGAAAAAAAAGTCTTCCCTCCGCAAATCATCTCCAGTTTATCCTGTCTATATCTTGTTTGTACCAAGTTGTTTTGTCTCCTTAGTACACTGTGAACTCCTCTCGAACAGAAACTATCTTTTGCCTTTCATTATATCCTCCTTAACACAATGCACATAGTACATTTAGTACATAGTAGGCATTTAGTGAATGTTTATTGACTATTATATGTTCAGTTGTTTTTCAGTTGTATCTGACTCTTCATGACCCGATTTCCATTTTTGGGGGCAAAGTTAGTCGTTTGCCATTTCCTTTTCTAGCTCATTTTACAGATAAAGAAACTGAGCCAAACAGGGTTAAGTGACTTGCCCAGGGTCACAAAGCTAGTTAAGTGTCTGAGGCTAGATTTGAATTCAGGAAGATGAGTCTTCCTGACTCCAGGCCTGGCATTCTATCCACTGTGCCACCTAGCTGCCCTGTTTATTGACTGACTGATTGATAGAACCTATTAGAGTGTGTGCCTCTTAAAAACATCAATGCCACCTTTGGACTGAGAGATTCCACTACTATAGGGTTATACTCCAAGGAGGTTATTGATAAAAACAAAGTCCACATATATATTAAAATATTCATAGCAGCACTTTTTGTGATAGTACAGAATTGGAACAAAATTGGGGGATGGCTAAACACACTGTGGTACAGGAATGTAGTGTGATATTATTGTGTTGTAAGAAATGATAAAAATGATTACTACAGAAAGGTATGGAAAGATTTACATAGTTTGAAGAGCCAGGAAAACAACATAAACAATGACTATGACAATGTTAATGGAAAGAACAAGCATAAAACAATCAAAAGTGAATGTTATAAAATTACAAAGAACAAACATGGTCCCGAAGAAGAGATAATGAAAAGACTCCTCCCCTCACTCCTTTGCGGAGGTAGGAGGTCTGTTAGTGTGGTACATTACATAAGTTTTCAGACTTTTTTATTAGTCTTACTGGGGTTTTTCCTTCCTTTTTTTCTTTCTTTAAATTTTTACATGGAATGGCTTTCTGGGAGGGGGAGGAGAGGTATATGGGGAGAAATTCTGGTGACATGTAAAACAAAAGATATCAAAAATTTATTTTTAACAAATACTACAAATGATGAGACACTGGGATAGGGTTTGGAGAAACACACAGGGAATGAGTAGTTCAATCAGCTTCCAAAAGCTGTAAGACATTCTTTGATGTATTCACAATTCTTTTCTTCTTACATGTTCTCCCCCCCGCCAAATGGCTATAAAGAAGTAGAAATTAAATAACAGACCCAAATATGATTCTTTCTGATCTTCTTTGTCCTCTTAGTGTGGGTTTAGGGCTCCGCTGAATACTCCAGTCCAAAAAATCCTGCCAATTCCTGACTTATACCTCGATAGTAAAATGGAATCAGAGGATAGCTAGAGAAATATCTATTTCTTGTTAAGAATGCCACATGTAGACTTTGGGGGGAAGCAACCTTTATAGCTATCCCAACTAGTACAAGTAGCTCGTGAAAACTAAAAGTAACTTAAATCCAAACATTAACAAGTTTCAATTATTAACTGATGGAGGAAATTCTTGTATGGACTTCAAGAAACTTTCCCAAATGAAAAATTCCATAATTCTAGAACAAATACCATTTCATGCCATACTCCCCCACAGCAGCCGTTGCTAACAAACACTATTCCCTGGGCTGCTGATGTTTAGGCTTTCGCTATGCAATAAGCCAGGTTGATCTAAGGCCTTACTGGAAGTGTGGGGTAGAGATCAGTGTTTTTTCCTCAATAACAAAGTTGGAAAGGAAATGATATTTTCTCCCCAAGTTTCCATTGGAATCTCTCTCCAGATAAAGGGTGGGAGGGTGTGTATGGTGGGCAACTGCATAAGATAGTTGTAGATTTAGAGTTAGAAGGAACCATGGAGGCCACCTAATACAACACCCTCATTTTACTGATGAGGAAACTGAGTCCCAGGAATGACTTGCCCAAGATCACACTAATAGCAAATACCAGAGGCAAGATTCAAACTCAGGTCCTCTGACTCCAGAGACACTGCTTTCTCCACTGCATATGGCGTAAAGGATGTTATCAGAGAGATGGATAACTGCACAAGAAGGTATGTTGGGCATGTAGGAAGAATGAGGGAAACAGATGTCCCATGGACTCCAGGGGCAATAGGGGCACTCCAACACTGGATAAACTGGCTGTGTGTGCTGCCTGCCTTGGGCAAGTCACCCTTTCTGTTTGCCTAAGTTTCCTAAGCTGTACAAAATGGTGATAAGAATAGCACCTATCTCCCAGGTGTGTTGTAAGGATCAAATACGATAGTATTTGTCAAGTGTTGAGCATGTTGCGTGGCAGTGAGTAGGTCACAAAACATTTATCAAGCAGCTACTATGTGCCAAGCACTGGGCATAAAACAGGCAAAAGACAGTCCCTGCTCTCAAGGAGTCTGCACATAGAAGGTGCTATATAAATGCTAGCTATTAAGACTGTTGTTATCACTATTATCACCATGATGTACAAAGTCAAGTGGTCCATAAGGATTTATGAGAAGATACGGAAAAGAGTAGCAAGTCCTCAAGCTGGGAGATGGAAACAATTTACCAAACCATCTACAAAGCCTTTTTGTCAAAAAGCCATTTCTTAGATAGTAATTAAGTATCTATTTCTGGCCGATAGAGGGGGAAGGGAAAGGAATAAGCATTTATATAGTGCCTACTATGTGTCAGACACTATGGAAAGTGCTCTCATTCAAGCCTCACAGCAGCCTTGCTGTTACATAAGTGCTATTATTATCCCCATTTTACAGTTCAGGAAACTGAAGCAAATTGGTTAAGTGACTTGTCCAGGGAGAAACAGCTAGTGTCAGAGGCTGGATTTGAACTCAGGACTTTGATGACAATTAAGTACCACCCACCAACTATACAGGCAGGGGAACTAACAAACCACCCCCTAGCCAATGAACTGCTTATGGGTATGCAACTCAAAGGCTAATCATTATTCCCTACTTTAGGAACCTTTCTTCTTCCATTATTTTCTCTTCCCCACACCCCCATTTGTGTTTCCTGCACTCTTTCTTCCTTCTCTTTTATCCTACTGGTCTCAGGACACTACCATGGTTCTTCGTCATCCACAAGGTAACTTCAGAACGCAAAGCAATCCAATCATTTGGACAAGTTGCTTCCCCTGCCCAGGGCTCAGTTCACCCATTTGTTAAACAAAAGAACTGGCCCAGAATGATTTCTAACATCTCTCCTAGCTCTCAATTCCACAATTTAGGCTATCCTTCTGTAGTGGACAGATTGGGCTACAAATCCCTCACAGGATCCTCAATTCCCCCACAATCTAACAAACCAACCTTACAAGTTTCCCTAGAAAAGAAATAAAAAACAGACCATAAGGGCTTTCATTATCCCTTTTATTACCTTACACCACTCAGATTTATTCTGAACATTAAAACAGGCAAAGAGGAAGGGAAAAAAATGGATTTTTTTTTCTCTTCCAACTTATCTGTCAAAAGTATATTGTACGAAACCACGGCATTATCTCTTAGAAAAAAGCATCCAAAAACTAATTTCATATTGAAGGATTAAGAAGCTTAAAACAAACCTCTGAGTAAGCAATAGGTAAGTAAGGTTTTAAGTGCATCAAATGTTTCTCATTCCAGTTCTATTAGAGAAATGCCAGAGGGCCATGCTTCCAAGGGACCCTCATGCACTCAATTCTCTGAGGTTTCCACAACGAATTTAAATAAAAGCTGTGAAGGGATTGCATAGGTTCAGTGGTCTTCAATTTCCTTTTTAATCTCGGAAATGTAGGGATGATCTTTGCCATGAGCTACTTCCATAATAGCGATAGCCTAGAAGAGGAAAAAAATGGTAAATGAGAAAACTGACCATTCTCTTTCCAACCTTCCTGTTCCTGAAGATCCCTTTTCATCCCCTCACAGCCTAAATGAAAAGTAGGGGGAGGTTTCTTCATTCTTGCCCTGTGGCCCAGGTTGAGAAATGGGATTCTTTATTTTTCATGAAAGCAGGTAAAATAATCAAATTATTCAGGCTCATGGCTATCATGGGGTTAGGGTTAAGGGACATTAGGGGTCATCCAGGCTCACTCTCTCATTTACTGATCAGAAAACTGAGGCCCAGAAAGTAATTTCCCTAAGGTCACACAGATTTTTTAAAAAGGAAACTGAATAAAAGACTCTGAAACCTTCTTAACCATTTTGGGTATGTTATGAACCTCTTTGGCAGCCTGGCAAAGCCTATGGACAGCTCAGAATGTTTTTAAATAAATAACGTGTGAATATTGCAGAGGAAATCAGTTATACTGAAACATAATTATGAAAATGTTAAAAAACAAAACAAGGGTTTTTTGTTTTTGTTTTGGTTTGGTTTTTTTGGCTAGGCAGTGGGGTTAAGTGACTTGCCCAGGGACACACAGCTAGTAAGTGTTATGTGCCTGAGGCCGGATTTGACCTGAATCCAGGGCTGGTGCTCTATCCACTGTGCCTCTTAGCTGCCCAAAACAAGTTTTTAACCCCTGCTTTAAAGCTGGTCAGGTCAAATAAAGTAAAACAATCAGGAAAAGATTAAGCAGGTTGTTAAGCTTTAAAAAAGAAACAAACATCCTCCTATCTCCTGGAGTTTCTCAAGGGAGCTTCTGTGGTAAGGCCTCTTTAACCTCACTCTTCTGTATATTTTAGGAGAAGGAGATTCTCCACATGGTTTGGCCACAGGTTTTCCACTCCAGTTGGCTGTGCTCAGCCAGGGCCAGATGCATTGACCCGAGGGATGGAGAACGTGCTAAATGAATGTATTTCCTCAGGAAAGGGGAAACTTACCAGTAGGGAATGTGAAATGGAGGGTGGATCTGATTGAAATCTAATCAACTGAAATTATAATTTAAATCATTAGACTGGAAGAGCTAATTTAATCTTCTTTTCCACCAAGTTCATTCTTTCTTAACAAAACTACATCAGAGTTCTACTCTGATACCTCACTAAGGTAATGTTACATGAGCTCTAGTGGTGCTTACCATAATGTAAAGGGTTCATGTATGTGTTGTTTTTCAGTCATATCTGACTCTTCATGACTCCATTTGGGGTTTTCTTGGCAAAGATACCGGAGTGGTTTGCCATTCCCTTCTCCAGATCATTTTACAGATGAAGAAACGGAGGTAAACAGGGTTAACTGACTTGCCCAGGGTCACACAGCTAATAAGTGTCAGGATGGATTTGAACTCAGGAAGACTAGTCTTCCTGACTCTAGGCCCAGCACTCTAACCACTGTGCCACCTACCTGCCCATATATATGTACTGTCTAAATTCATAATCATATCTGGCTGGGCCACAACTATATTTGAAAACTATCTCAGAAGGTCTTATCCAAAGCAAGGAAATTATAGTTCTGTGAGTCTCAGGGAGCAGAAAAAAAAATGTATATAAATCTTGGTAATCCACAGGGAAAAGCAGAGTAAGAATTTATTTAAGTGTATCTAAAGGTGCGTGGGGGCACCAGATGGCACAGTAGTGCCAGGCCTGGAATTTGGAAGACTCATCTTTCCAAGTTTAAATCTGGCTTCAGACACTTATTAGCTGTGTGACCCCAGGCAAGTCACTTAACCCTATCTATCTTAGTTCTTCATCTATAAAATGAGTTGGAGAAAGAAATGGCAAACCACTCCAGTATCTTTGCCAAGAAAACCCCAGACAGGGTCATGAAGTCAGACAAGACTGAAAAAAAAGGCTAAATAAAGGTATTTAATTCAATTCCACAAACATTTCCTAAGTGACTATTATGTGCTAGGCTCTAAGATATAAAGATAGGACAAAGGGCTTGCCTTCAAGAAGCTTCCATTCTACTAGGGGATATAATATGTCCACAGATACTAAACATGAGGTAACTTGGGAAAGAGAGAAGAGCAACCACTAGGGGAATCAGGAAAGGCTTCCTGTAGGAGGTAGCACTTAAGTTTAGATCTGAAGAGAAGAAGGGGGTCCAAGATGCAGATGTGAGGCATGGGACCCAGCACAGTCAAAGGTGTAAGAAAGTCACATGCAAGGAACAAAAACTAGGTCAGTTGTACTGGAATAATGTAAATAGAGTAACAGGGAATGTCTGCAAGGGTGGACAGGAGCCAGATTACAAAGGGCCTGAAGTGCCAGGAAGAAGGGTCTTCCCTTTATCCTGGAGGCAATGGGGAAGCACTGAAGATTTCTGTGTAGTAAAGCTTCATGGTCAGACCTGTTTAAGGAATATTAATATCGCTGTTTTGTGAAGGAAGGGCTGGAGAAGAGGGATATTTGAAGCAGGAAGCTCTTAAAGTATCCCAGGTGATAGGTGAAGGCCTGCCTGAACCAGAGTGACAGGTGGTCAGGTGAAAAGAAAGATTTGGATGTGAAAGGCATTGTGTGCGTAGAACTCTATGGCTTGGCAGCTGATTAGACATGAGAAGGGGGTAAGAAACAAAAGAATCAAAGACTCTGAGGTTACAAACCTGAGGAACTAGAATGAGAATGATGTTCTCCATAGAAATAAGGAAGTTTGGAAGAAGAGTAGGAGGGAAGGGAAAACGTTTCATTTTGATGTCAAATTTGAGATGCCTCAAGGGGCCATACTGGGCAGAGATATCTTTTAGGTAGCTGGTGATGTAGGACAGGAGTTCAGGAAAGAAATCAGAGCTGGATATATTGACAGGAAGACCATTTGCATAGAGATGAGAGCAGAACCCAAGACAGCTGATGAGATCACTACGCGAGAGAAGAGAAGAAGGCCCAAGACAGAACTCTGGGGAACACTCGTGGTCGGTTGGCAGGAGATGGATGATGTGCCAGGAAAGGAGTCGAGTAGTCAAAAATGTAGAAAGAGAACCAAGAAAAAACAGTGTCACAAAAGCCAAAGGGGGAGAGAGTGTAGGAGTGATCCAAAGTTTCAAAAGCTTTAGAGATCAAGTAGAATGAGAACAGAAGAAAAAACAGTGTCACAAAAGCCAAAGGGGGAGAGAGTATAGGAGTGATCCAAAGTTTCAAAAGCTTTAGAGATCAAGTAGAATGAGAACAGAAGAGAACCCTGGAGAAAATAGTTTCAGTGCAATGATAGAAGTTAGAAGCCAGATTGCAAGGAATTGAGAAGTTAATGGGAAGGAAGGAATGGGGGCAACAAAGACAGGCTGCTTTCTAGTAGTTTGGCCATCAAAAGGAGAAGAGACCTAGGAAAATCAGCTCAGGCTAGTTACAGTCAAATGGAGGTTTTGTGAAATGGGGAGACTGAGTTGTAGGAATCACAGAAGAAGCCAGTGAAGGAGAAGAGGAGAAAAAGAATGACTGATGAAGCAATCTAGTAGAAGAGACAGGATGGGGTGGGATCCGGTGCATTAGTAGAGGGATTGATCTTGACAAGGAGATTAGAATACAGGAAGAGAGAATGAAGGATGATATAGGGAGATTGAATATGCAGAATAAGGGAGAATCAGCCTATCAAATACCAAGTACTTCTTTGAATAAGTGAGGGTACACAGTGGACGGCCTCTACTTTCTTAGCAAAGTAGAGGTGAGGTCTTCTCCTCAAAGGGCTCACAGAGGGAGCTGTATAGGATGCCAAGGAGAGAACAGATTGGGATTAGCCACTGTGGGACCACAAAGATTTACCATAAGGATTGCCGTGCAGAAGTGGGGCCCTCAATACTGTTCACTGCATTGTAGGAGAGAACATGGAGGGCCCATCTCCACTTCTTACTAGACCTTGCCCTCCAAATAACAGTACAAAAGACTTGGCTGTGATTACAGCAGGAGACCAGTGGGGATAAGGTTATGGGCTGGATCACAGCGTGGACCTGTTTTGTCACAGAGAGAAAAACTCTGTCCAGATGTGCGCCACTGTTCATAGCAAAGTCTGTGAGGAGAGTGACAATTCATCTCCACAAATGTAGAAATACTTCCTCCAGCTGGCAACTCAAAAGGATCAGCTTTGTATAATGAATTACCTAAGTTGTCCTATTAGGGAAAAAAAGTTATTTGACATTACTCCACTTTATTATACTCTCCGGTCCAGACAAAAATAACCTTCTTTCTGTTTCTCAGATACAACATTCCATCTGCTGTCCCACATTCTCCTTACTGTCACTTTTTTTTTTTTGGGTGAGGGCAATTGGGGTGAAGTGACTTGCCCAGAGTCACACAGCTAGTGAGTGTCAATCACCTGAAGCCGAATTTGAACTCAGGTCCTCCTGACTCTAGGGCCAGTGCTCTATCCACTGTACCACCTAGCTGCCCCTACCTTCACCTCTTAATGGCCAGCATTTATACAGGGCACCAAGGTTTGTGAGTACAATACATATGCTATCTCCTTTGGTCCTTACAATAACCCTTGTAAGGTAAGTGCTGTTAATATTCCCATTTTACAAATAAGGAAACTGAGACTAACAGATGAAGTGACTTGCCCAGGATCACACAGCCAGTAAGTATCTGAGGCAGAATTTCAACTCTGGTCTTCAGGACTCCAAATCCACACTCTCTCCACTGGGCCAAAGCTCAGCTCAGGCACTTTCTTCTACATGAGGCCTTTTCCAAGCCTCCCCCCTCCCTCCTCCCAGCTGCTAGTGCTTCTCCTCCCTCAGGCTACCTTGGATTTATTTTTTATATACATCTATATATACATGCTCTTCCTCCCAATTCAGTATAAGCTCCTTGAGGGCAGGTACTGCTACACTTTTGTCTCCGTTCCCACAACTTCTAGCACAGTGCCCTTCATATCGCAGATACATAATAAAATGTTTTTTGATCAATTATATCAGCGAAGCACTCCAGGAAAAACTAATAATTTTTTTAAAAAAACTATTTCAAGATTTGCAAAGTACCACAGCCCCATGTAACCCTGCAAGACAGGCAGCAATGCCAACATTTCACTTTTACAGGTGAGTGAAGGTGGTCCCAATCCCACCTTCCACAGGAGTCAGCAGAAAAGCCAAGTTACCAGGGAGAAGCAGAATTACCTTTTTCAGGGCTTTTACTCCTGAAGCTTTGTGTTCTAGCCCCATGTACAGCCTTCCTAGCTTGAGCCACATGGAGGCCACGTTTAGGGAATACAGTGGGTAATGTTTGCTAAAAGACAACAAAGAAAGAAGACAAGCCATCTTACTATCACACCTTCTACACCAGCATCCATGTGTCTAACCTGGAGAAACAAGAAGCTTGAACATGTGCCTTAATTCAGTGTGTTGGCAGTGGGTTGAACTCCATAAGAAACAAATGGCTATCTTCCATTCTGTGGCCACAGACTTCCTGCCCCCGTCAGTAATCTCAGAAATGTTTACTGACAGAAAACAGGGAATCCAGTCGGGAAAGTCTTGGTGGATCAGCATACCCCAGCCCAACAAGTATTCCACCACTATACGCAACATGAATGTACTTCAAGAGTTGTGTTCAAAATAATTTAAAATGCACCAGGAAAGGATGCTCCCTGGAAAAAATCCCACGGCAAATCCATTTTTAAAACAATGGCCCCCTTACCTACATTAATATTTTGAGTTTTCTTAAGGCCTGTAATATCTGTATTGGACAACCCAAAGAAAACATCCAGTGATGGTGGCTCAAAGAGACCATTTTTATATATGAAGGACAGCACATTAACACAGTAAACCTAAGCTAACAGTTCTCTGGAACTCAGTCCTTCTAGCTGTATGCCAAAATGGAGGAAACACTGCTGCTTAAGCTCCATGAAGCCAAAGAGCACACTTCCCATTTCTTTTCCCTCCCCAGTAGACTAGAGAAACATACTGTATATACTGCATATACTGTAGTAGATGATCAGTGGAATTTATCGAGCAACGCATGAACCAGTGGGGATTCCAACACACTGGGCAGTTGTGCTAAGCCTTTGTCTGGGGTACCTACGTCTCCCTACACTGGCAGCATCAACATGGGCTGGGACTATGGGGAAGGTTTAGGGGGATGTGTGAAGGAGGTCTCTATGGGAAGACTTCTTGTTTAGTTCAATGCTGTCCTACAGAGGCTTTGTTTGGGTTGAGGGCTGAAGTGGGCACTGAGCTCACCTGAGTGATCCTGGGAACCAATTGAGAACTAGGCTGACAGCTGGGTCTTCCTTCCAAGTAGAAGAGTGGCTGGGTATTTCTGAGTAAAGTGTGGGGAGGTTTTGAAAAAGCTCTAAGCTTGCACATTCCTGGCCTCACCCACTCCAGGATACTAGGAGGTGGGGGTGAGGAATTTATTTAGAATTTAAATGACAACCTCAATCCCTGGGCAGTTTTCAAGAGCTTACTTCCCCTCTTCCTCCCTCTGCTGGCCAGTTGAAGCAGTGCTACCTAAGGACTGAACCTTCAGAGTAAAGCCAGATCATGAAGAGAGATGAAATCAGGCTCTTAGTCTCAGAGCTTGAAGGGTCCCTGAGGACTTTTATGTTATCCATCTTCTGTGTAGTTAGCCTTCTGTTCCACACCATGAAGTCCTTTCCTGCTTTCAGAAATATCTGGGGGAAAAAAGGCTCGGTCTTCCTCAGCCATCCATCCTGGAGTCTAGTCATTGTCAGGAAACTTCTGTGTCTAACCTTAGGATGGTATCCAGCAGATGAAATTCCAACTCCTTCTACTCTGTCCTTGGCAGAGATGGAGAACAGGGATGGATGAGTAACTGCTCCCTGTGAGAGGGCATGTCAGGAATGACCACAGAATAAGTCACTTCTCAGGAGAACTGACCAAAAATGCCAAAAGGGGACAAAAGATTTTTGGTGGCAAGAGAACAAAATATTCAGGAAAACATGATTCTGTACTTCTTTATGATTTACAGTGGTCTTTCCTCTTGAGGAGGGGCAGTTATGTCAACGTGGATAGACAGCCAGCCTTGAAGCCGGGAAGACCTAGGTTCAAGTCCACCCCTCATACATACTGGCTATATGACCCTAGGCAAGTCACTTCACTTTTTAAGTGAAGGCAATTCCTTTAGATTATAAATAGCAGAGAAAGTACCTGTTTTGGTAGAAAAAGTTTTCTCACCTGGGAGTTCCCTATACCAATGAAATCACTTATCCAGTGTCTAACTCTGTCTTTCCTCAAGATGATCCTGTGAGGTAGGATACTACAGGGTAGTTACCTATTCTGTCCCTAGGATATACTCATCATATAACTGAAAACGATGTTGCTTTAGGCAGGTCACATGATTTGCCTAAGGTCTTTTATATATGTGTATGTGTGTATATGTATGCATGTATACATATATGTATGTGTGTGTGTGTATGGATCACCATGGCTGGTGGGGGTAGGGGACTTCCCCCTACACCCAACTGCATTAGTGACTATTTTCTTATGGGCTGTCCCTGAAAGCAGAGCCCTAAAGAGACAGAACAGCTCCCAAAGAATGAACACAGACCTTGTAACTCTATCCTAAGATGTGCAGAGAACCAAAGGCTGCCCTGCTAGGCACATTCCAAGGAAGAAAAATTAACCAGCTTGGATTCTGATTAAGGCAAAAATTCTAAAATACTAATTTCATTTCAGCACGCTGTGACCTGAATAACCTCCCCAAGTCACCTGTAGGGCTTAATGATTTTCTGTCCATAGCGCAAGGCACCTTCCCAGTCCTGCATGTATAGGCAGACACCCATGGCCTGGTACATCATGTGTAACATGTACACATTGCTGTCTTCAAACAAGGAGCCCATCTTCTCCTGGCTGAGCTCACAGATCTCCAGCAGCTCGCTAGGGGTTGCACTGGAGTCAAGAAAAAGGAGTCATATGGCTGGCTAGCCAAAAGTATGAGGGCACAGACAAGGCTACCCAGGATCATAAGGTTTGGTGAAGTGTTTGAACAGCTCATGCCCTAAGTCCTTACAGCACCCAAATTTCTACATTCAAACCATCCCAGAAAGAGAATAATCTACACTGCGCTTAAATATTTCTTGAAAACAAAATAATTCTAATAAAATTACTTATTCTCTTTAAGGAAAAAAAAATCAGAAAAAACTGAAGGCCCCAAATTTCAATAGAATCTAAAGAATTTTAGCCATATGGAAACTGATTTTTTTAAATTAGAGGATAATCTGAATCATGTCTTAGAGCTGGAAGGGAAATTAGAAGTTGCTAAGTTCCTAGGTATACAGCTAGAAGGGACAAAGAAGTCACTGGGGCCAACCACCTCATTTACAGATGAGGACACTAAGGGACAGAAGGGGTAAGTGATTTCTGAAAATCAGATCCTGGGACTCCATGTTCAGCAGTTTTTGTCCCCTTCTTTTTCTTTTTAAAATAATGAACAAAAAATCCTTATTCTGAACTGAAACATCAGATAAAATGAGCATCTCCACTTATAAAGTAGAACAGAAAAATAAACAGATTGTAAAGGAAGTTGAATAACTATTAGATACAGCCTGTATTTTCCTTTAAGTATACAACAAATTTAATATATAACTTTCAAAACTGTCCCTTGTTTCCTTTTGGCCTTTTTTCTATTCTCTTTTGTGCACTGAAAAAAAAAGCCTTTTCAGGGCTATTTTCATGTACCATACTCTAACTTCCAACTCAATAAAATACCTCTGCTAGGTGATCACTCAGTCTCCCTCTGAATAATCCCAGTAATGGTAGCCCATTCCATTTTTAAATAAATCTAACTGCCAGGAAATTTTGCCTTATATTGAACCCAAATTTGCCTTCTCTGCATTTCTACCCACAGACTTTGGTTCTGCCCTTTGGAGCTACATAAAATAAATTATACTCCTTTCCTACAAAGTAACCCCTAGGAGAGATTGCTATTATATGAAATTGTGTTGTTATTCAAGGCATGTAGCTGAGAAAACATTCTGAGAAGAGTTTTGGGAAATTTTAGAGACTCTTAGGCAGGTTTTCAAGTTATGACTGTTAAGCCACAGGAAAAGCTGGCTCACTTAAATGCAACAACTGTAGGAAGCAAGGGTGAAGATAATGTAAAAACCATGGATAACACCCTCTCTCCTATTTCCTTTCCCACCTCAAGCCCTCAAACACTTACATCTGCCTCTACAAAGCAGTTAGGGACACATATGGACAGATATGCATTCAACCACACAAATCCCTTGGTGCCCAGTCCTGACTTTTCTCATTGTTCATGCCCTTTATCTACAGATTACTTTGCACACAGTGTACAATGCATGCTTTTTCATTATAACTACTCAATTCATGTGGATAACTCAAGACTGACTGCACAATTACTGAGTGTCTTCTATGATACTTGATACTATGGAGCTCTATTAAAGGTGCCTTCAAGGAACGAAGGTGAACTTGCAAAGAATTTCTTCAGACCCTTTGCAAGGAAGCAAATGATCCTACCTGGAAGCCGAGTTCAGTCCAAACTAGTCAAATAAGAAATGGGGGAAGTTGCTTTCTACACTTGACAAGGTATAAAATCTACCTATTAAAGAGGCTCTATTTGTTCAAGATTCAGACCTCATGCCCCCCACCTTTCCCTCCTTATCTCTTGTAGGGAGAGTGAGAAAAGGATATATTTATAATGCTTGGCCCTCCTAAACTCCTCGATGACATTCCGTGCGTATTTCACCATGTCTCGGATGCTTTCAGCCTTTGGGGGCTCACTTAGTTTTCGGATTTCCACCTTGGCTTTATCCTGAAAGAAACATTTATGAATGCTATAGAGGGAATTATATTGATAGAGAAATCTTTCAAGAATTCACACATCTTTGTATCTGGATTTGCAAGTTATTAAATGCCTATGGGCACTAATGGAAAAAGGGAGTAGCAGACAGTGGAAAAGATGATGAATGAGAAGTTGGAAGGCCTGGATTTGAGTCCCAGCTCTCTCTGTGTTACCTTGGCTAAGTCTCTTTATTTCTCTGGGCCTCAGTTTTCTCATCTGTAACATGGGGGTTGATTTTATAAGTTGTGTTTTGTTTCTTTTTTTGTTTTTTGTTTTGGGTGAGGCAATTGGGGTTAAGTGACTTGCCCAGGGTCACACAGCTAATGAGTGTCAAGTGTCTAAGGCTGGATTTGAACTCAGGTCCTCCTGACTCTAAGGCCAGAGCTTTATCCACCTCACCTTCTAGCTGCCCCTCTTTTTTTTTTTTAATAAAATGGATTCCTGACAGTTGGAAGAATAGATGAACAAACTGTGTTATATGAATGTAATGGAGTGTTATTACATCATAAAAAATGACTAATACGAAAAATTCATAGAAACTTGGGAATTACTCATGTGAACTGATGCATAATAAAATAAGGAGAACCAGAAAAATAATTTACACAATGACCACAATGATATTAAGGAGAACAATACTGAAGACATCAGAACTCTGATGTAATAAGAAGAAATGTAACTTGGCAGAGAGGTGAAGTAGGTCATCTAGGAACGGAATGAGGTATACACCTTTAGATGTGGCCAATGTGTTGATTTTGCTTAACTGTATTTTCTTTGTTATGGGAGAGGAAATTATTGCAGGGAGCAGGGCAGGGACCTGGGAAATATTGGGGCAATGCAAAAGAAAAAAAAGGCATCAATAAAACATTTATAAAATTCCTAAATTTTATAAATTTATAGAAATCTAATTATAGAGACATACTTTCTAGCTCAAACACTCTAGGTTTTAATGATTCTGAATCAGGCTGAGATGAACAGAAATTAGGCAGCAGACCTGAAAGAAACTTAATACTTTTTAAACATCTTTTTTAAAAAATTAGATTTCATGAGAACCTTTGCTTAGGGTAGGGTACTCACTATGCATCTGTGGCCACAGGGGAAAAAAAACAGGGCAGGGTTGGCATTAGTCAACATCAGGTTTGATGTGGGTGGTGCTATGGTAAATTCAATCTTTCTGGTCTCATGGCCTAAAAACTTCTCTAAACTGGTTTGTGAAGTTGCTGCAATTCTTCATTTGTGGTTTTGCTCTCCTCCCCTTCTCCCATTTTTTCCCCTCCTACTTCCAAAGGTACATTCCATTTTAAGAGATGTCAACTGGGTAATTCTTTCCTGTGCCTAAATTCTCATGGAAACCTCCCCCTGCACTCAGCACTATGCTACCAGAAATAGGACTGAGTAGAAGGAAAGCAGACTAGCAACTGAGGTTCTCAGGAATGTCTTGGCAAAGTTGGTGCCATCTGTAAAATGAGGAGGTTCAACCTGAGGCTCTGACCAGCCCTCAGATTGGCTGAAACCTCAGACACATGAGAAAGGCCACTCTGGATCAGCTCACTAGTCCCTCTATAAATTTTAGTCTATCAAGCATATACACAAGAAATAAAACAAAGGGCTTAATTAGTTTTTTATAAAGAACAATTACCTCCTTGACAAATTTCTCATACTTTGGTGGGGCATATATACCCTCGGGAGGGACTCTGTGCCCTAGCACTTAAAGGGACCTTCAGAGTTCATCTCTCCCAACTCTCTCATCTTAGAGATGAATAAACAGGCCTAGGGACATTTCCAGGGACTTGTCAAAGATCACAAAATTGTCTGGAGGCAAAACAAATAGAGCAGAACCCACACCTTCTACAAGTATGACCTGCACTTCCTAGGAGTATGCTCCTTCCCCTCTACAGTGCTGCCATGGTAACAGATCTCTAAGATGTCATCGTCTTTAAAGGGAGAAGGGAATAAGCATTTATATGGCACCTACTATGGGTCACGCACTGTGCTAAGTACTATTTACAAATCTCACTGGATTCTCACAATCACCCTGGGAGGTACAGGCTATCACATTATCCCTATTTTACAGATGAGGAAACTGAGGCAGACCGGTTATGTGTTTCGCCCAGGGCGGCACAGCCAGCAAGTGTCTGAGGCTGGATTTGAACTCAGGTCTTCCTGATTCCAGGTCCAGTACTCTATGCATTGTGACAACAATGGATGGAAAGGAGCACCTTTTCCTATGATAAACATTACTGGGATCTGGGGAGTCAAATATCAGTTTGGAAGGAAGGGGAGGATGCTGCTTCTGGAAATGGATCTTGAGAAGTCCAGGCACGTCAGGGTGATGAGGCTTGTCCATGCTACAGTGGTCTTACCTTTGCTTTGGTAGTACATTCCCTGCACTCACATGTAAAGAAATAGGAGTCTTTTAATCGGTCATTCCGATCCTCTGTAGGATACAGCAGGTCAATATAGCTAGTAAAAACCTAAGGAGAAAAAAAAAAGATGATTATAGTGTTCAGAGGGGACACAGTTTACAATTAACAAGAGTTAGCACAATGTAATGGATAGAGCTCTGGACTTGGTGCCCAGAAGATCTGGGTTCAAATTCTCTCACAGATACCAAGTCTTAGAATCTGGGCAAGTACTTTCACTTTTCTGGACCTTGGTTTTCTGTAAAATGAGGGGGTTGAATTCAATTACATCCCAAGTCTCTTCTCACTCTAAATCTACGATCCCATTCCCTAAGATATTAATAATGGTCTAGGAATTTTTTTCATACATAGGCCCTAAGACTTCCAGAATGAACTCTGAGTTGCAGTGGGGTATAGTGAGTGACCCAAGGAATGCACAAAAGTTGACTAATTTGGGTTCATCGTTCCCTCATATTGGCTTCTTCTTGCATTGGGAAAACCCACTGCCACCAGGCTAAAATGTGCCAATTCTGAAAGGGGTGTTGGTTCTCTTGTGGGGCTTCCTTAAAAGAGGTCCCCAAAGTGCCCTCGCCTCTCTCTCCTCACTCTAGAGAGCCAGCTGTAGATTTCATCCAGCAGGGTCCCACCCGCGACTCCTACAGAGAAGAAAGGGCCCTCTGGTTTGGCAACTGCACGCTCTCCTTGGTACTAGCTGCGCGAGCTTTCCAGTTTTTTGCATTTTTGTTGCGTCAAATTGGATTTCTTGGATGTTTTCATTTATGTATTTTTTCGGAAGCATTGGGGGTTAAGTGACTTGTCCAGAATCATACAGCTAGGCTAGTAAGTGTCTGAGGCTGGATTTGAACTGAGGTCCTCCTGACTCTCGGGCCAGTGCTCTGTCCACCGTGCCACCTAGCTGCCCCTCTGGGACACTTTGATGGTAGCCACTCCTGCATGGTAAAGAAACTGGTGGTCAGACATTTCCTCTTGCCTCCTAAGTCACACTGCAGTGGAGAAAGAACTTCAAAGCTGCAGCTTTTGCTGCCAACAGTTCCGTGTCCCAGCCTTAGGGCAGCACCAAGAACGGGAGGAATGGGAGATGCAGAAGGCTCATCCTACACAGCTGGTTACTTTTGATTTTGCCAGCTGTGCTGGAACTTGGGAAACTTCCCTTTGGTGCCCATCAGGTCTGCTCTTGAGTTTCCTAGCATGTTCCTGTCGCTAAGCCTCTGAGCATATGGAAGAGGCCAACATTTAAATAGCCATTATCTATTCACTGGGACCACCATTTGCTGATCATCCCACATAATCAGGCAAATGTCTGACTGAACAGATGGATCTCAAATAGCCTTTTAAGTGCCAGTAACCTTGGGTTCCAAAACACAGCTATGGGAGACAAGCTTGGAGGAGACACCCCTGGTCTTAATTCTAGCACCCCAAACTTAAGGACCTACAAAAGCAAAACACCAGCTATTCATGACACACTACTCATTGGACCCCTTTTCTCTGCAGTGCTGGAAGCAGGGGAAAAAAATGCCTTTCTACTTTACTTACTGAGATCACTACATAATTTTTCAAAAACTTGGGGAATAAGGGGAAAAAAAGTTGAAAGACGCACAGAACAAGTCTTTCAAACATTCTTCCTCTGTAAAACCCCCCAGACATCTTTTCCTCTTGCAAGGGCTAATGGACAAGCTTTGCAATATTCACACTAGCCCAGAAGATGGCGACAAAGTCCGGCAGACCGTCCCCTGCTCATCTCAGCTGGTCACTGCAATGAATTGCTCATTTTTTCAGTCTGTCCCCACATGAGCATTTCTGAGTAATTGGGATATTTTCTTTTAAACAAAGAGACACTAGGGTAGATTTTATGAGACAGATATTCAGGAACTTAGACAGTTCTGCCAAGGCTAGGACACATTTCTCATATACATAGTAAGAAGGTGCAAAGCCCCCTCTAGGTAACAGCTCAGTTTTTCAGAGAAATCTGTGTATTTCAAGGCCTTGATGGCTACATCTAAAATACCCAGATTGAAATTTACATTAGAAATCACCCAACTGATATCTGATTTAAACTACAGAAATAGGATACCAAAAAAAAAAAAAAAGACAGACAACAACAAAAAGACCTTTAAGTGTAGAGGGACATGGAAGAGAGATGGTATACAATATTAATGTGACTAATTCACATACTAGTTAGGTAGACCCTAATTCAAAGGCTATCTACCAAATTGCAAGTAACAAACAGGACACAGTAGCAAGCTATAAGGCTGGATAATCCACAAACCAGATAAATAATTCCATGAAGAAACTGAGAAATGACTGTAATGTTTAGTGGGTGGGATTCATGAAAATTATTTCCAGTTCCATTCACTTCCCTCTTCCTGCTGACCCTGCACTGATTTTCCCCCACAGGTTAACCAACAAGAAAGGCTGGCTGACACCCATACCGTAGTCCACGCTGGCCCATGCTCACACTTACCTCATCTCCAGGGTTTATTTCCTGCACAGCTCTCACTTCAGCCAGGGTCCCCTTATAGGTGACAATCACATTGGGACAACAACTGTGGTTCATCAGTGCAACGCTATTGTCAATGGAGGAAAAACAAACCATTTATCTCAAGGTGATTGGCAGGAAGTTAAGCACCACTCAGCTGGACAGAAACTTTTAAAGAAAGACTGTCACTTCACAATACTAATCTTTTAAACTAATAATTAACAATTTCACTCACTCTAAAGGATGTATAATCCTATCCAGGGATTATAATCTTTAATGGCACTGGAAACAGAATTGCTTTGCAGTAAATATGAAAATAAAGTGAAAAAAGCCCAGCCAGAAGAATGGAGTAGACGCTAACAAAATAACAGGAGAAGAAGTGAACGAGTATAAATGGACCAAGAATCCCAACCGGGGGCTTCGAAAGAGGGACTGAAAAAGTTTTATGATACTTTATGTCCTGAAATTACTTTAAATAAAATTGTTCCTAAGCAAGTTTAGTTGTTTCTATTGGTGCTTAATATTGATTTCTAACAAAATTAATTTTAAATGTGGGTCCCCCAAAAATGTAAATCTCCCCCCACTAAGATGCATGATTTAAAGATCTAAGCATGTACTCCATAATAAATTGTAATAAATAAGCAAAGGCCACTTATCAATAATTTTCCAAACCACTTTTTACATTAATGGACCATTTCCAAAGCCAGCTGTCTTCAGACTCTGAAAAATCCCCATTCTCTCTACAATGCCTGGTTTCCCATGTGGCTCTGCTTAGGACTTCTTGGCTGATCTTGATCGAGCAAATTTATTTGAGCCTCTCTGCACCTCAATTTCCTCATCTGGAAAATTGGGACAGGGCTGCACCTGCTGTTCTCATTCTACTTCTCAGGACTGGTGGGAAGGATAGACAGGTTCATGTATGTGAGGGGCTTTGAGCTTCTTCTGATTGTATCAAGGTCAAAGTTCTAAGAACAAAAATTTCTAAACTACAGGGGGAAAAATGCTTGATCTCTGAAAATGCTACCTTTGAAATCCCAAGGCCGACAGGAATTTCAACCCAGAGGACTTTTTTCCCCCCAATTAAAACTGTCTGAAAACTGGGGCTCATCCTCAGACAAGCTCTCACATCTATAAATGTTATTGTTACAGTGCCTGATATTATAAATTTCTTAAGCCCTTTGAGTACTAAAAGGAAAAAAAACCCTTTCTTCCATTTGCACCAAGATTACAAAATGACAGCACTGACTCAGTAGGTCAGTTTGCTCCTTGAGGTCTAGGGGAGAGCCAGCAACGTCCACTCCTGGGTACAGAGGACAGACCAACTACTTTCTTCTTGCCTTCCTAAGCTTACTGCTACCAGAGACTTGGGGAAAGGACAAAGCTGGCTATCTGGCATCCTGCTGAACTAAGCTTTACTGGAATGTGGTGAGGAGGGGGTCAGTGCCCTCTACTCCAAACTCAAGACCAAGAGACCAGTAGCTTGACTTATTACACATGAAAGACAACCAGACTCTTAAATATAATGAACTCCCAGGCTTAACAGGTTTTTCATTACATTAGTAATGTTAAAATACACTACTGTAGCTCTCTTCCAGGAAATATGGTACCTAGTTTTTAAGGGTTTTTTGGGGGGCGGGAGGACTGGAAATAGAATTTTATTAATTTAGGGAGCTCCTTTGAGACACCTCTTCTAATAATGCTGAATGGTACTTGCAATTTTAGACACCTGACAGGAGCCACAAGAAATGATTTACCCTGGGTCACACAACCTGTATGTATCAGATGTGGGGCTTCTGACTCTGATGACAACTATCTAGCTATGCCCCTACCCCACCACAGTGCCTCATGCCTAGTTCATTAGCAAACAATACTTTTTTAGGCATCCACAACTTCACAAACAGAAGCCTTTTTTTTAATTAAAAACAAAAACAAAAAACTAAGCCTTAAAAATAATAAAAAGAAACTGAAACTGCTTGTTTTTATGGTGCTATAATTATTTTTAGTAACTATTAAAAAGTACTGAAAAAATCCCCTTGCTCAAAATGCCCTAATGGGCTCCTTATTATCTCTCAGATCAAATCCTCTATGTAGCATGTGAGGTCGTTCCCAGTCCGGCTCCAGCTTTCCTTTCTAGGATTCTCACACACAACTTGAGAGGTAGTGGGACACAGAAGACAGGGCACTGGACTTGAAGTCAAAAGAACTGGCTTCAAATCCTACCTCAGAGACTAGCTGTGTGACCCTGGGCAAGTAATTTGATCTTTCTGTGCCTTAGTTTCTTATCAATAACATTAAAGAGTTGGGATTCATTCTCCAAGGTCCCTGCCAGCTCTCAATCTATGATTAAAGCTACGTTCCTTCCAAGACTCTACTAAGTAATCTACCTAACTTGCATTTCTGGCCACATTGGCCCACTTGTTGTTCTTTGCACATAACTTCTCATCTTGTTTCTTTGTGTAGGCTTGGAATGGACTTCTCACTCATCTCTGCCTCTTAAAATACTTGCTCACTTCAAAACTCAGATCAAATGTGACCTTTCATGAGATAACAACAGGTACCTGCATCAGACCTTCTTATCCTTCCAGCTATGAGTTCCCCCTCCCTCCCTCCCTCTCAAATTAACTTTGGATTCACTTTTGATTAACCAATCAATCACTAAGCATTCATTAAAGCTCCTATAATGTTACAGGCATTGTGCTGAGGGCTGGGATTCAAAGACAAACAAATCAGCTCTTGTCACCAAGGTGCTTACATTCAGTATCCAAAGACAATATTTACAAATATAAGTATATACAAAATAAATACTTTATAGATATGTATATACATAACATGAATACACACACACACACACACACACACACAGATATTGCATTTCTTTATAACTGTATGTGTGTCCTCCCTAGTTGCTAGTAACTAGGTACAATAATCAGGTGTTTAATACATGAATGCCAGTTGATAAATGTGTACTTTGGTCCCTAAGATACTGGCCTCAAAAGAAGTCACTTCAGAGCTAGATCTGTTCTCAGTGAGACCTCTACAGGGGAACTCTCCAATGTCCTCCCTCTCCCCTAGGGAAAATGTCATGAAGTCACTTGTGTGTGACCATCAGAATTCAAATTGTGGCTAAGGATTCCATGTAGTCCTCCAGTGCTTTTATTAATGAATACACCTTCCAGTCATTCTAGAGGAAGCACAGTCACTGCTGTTCACCCAACACAGGCAACATATTAATTCGTTGGTGACTTCTTGTCATATTCTCATGCATGGGTTAAGCAGCAAATTGGCAAAGTCATGAAAATACAAGAAACAAACAGACATAGGAGATGACAGACAGCCGGAACCACAACCAAAGACAGGGGTACACACCTGCATGTGTCCATTCAAATATGCAGCACCTCATTTCTTTTCTAGGTAAATCCTATTAAATTCATATTTTGAGATCATTTGGATATGGGCTATGTTGACTATCCCTTTGTACTATCTCTGAAAAAAGGGTCATTAAAGGGTCACTTGTGTTTGTCCAAACACAAATACTGGGAAGAACATACAAGCTATTTATGAAAATAAACTGTTTAAACATTTTTAAAGCATCCATTTTAGTCAAATAAGAAGCCTGCTAGCATCAAATCATTATTACATCTAGTAATATCAAACGATCAAATGAAATAACATGTAAAGTATTTTGTAAACCTTAACACACTCTATAAATACTAGCTATGTAGCTATATGTACATTATAGCAGGTTCTTTAAGGATAATATTTGTAAAGTGCTTAGTATAATCGCTGGCACATAGTAGATACTTAATAAAATGCCTATTGTTTGCTTCCCCCCTTTCCTTTCCTACTCAGAAATATTTTGCTAACCTCATCTTGAAACACTCTCTCTTCAAAAGTGTGGGGGTGGGGGTGGGCTGCAGGAAACTATATTTCTTTAATGAGTTTCTCTAATTCACTACTTCAGCTGGGCCTCCCCCCAATTCAGTCTGAATTAGTGAGGTTTTTCTGCATCTCATGCTGTGCTTTTCCCATATTCACAATGATCAAAAGTTGTGATGAGGTGAGAGCCAATATTTCTTCTAAGCAAAGCTATAGAAATATCTTGGTTGGCAATTAATCGTTAAAACTGAAGATTACTTGAACTGAAGATTATGCAGAAAGCAAATTTCTCAGCAGGGCACAGAACTATGCCTCCTATGAACACTATAAAGCATTCTTTAATAACAGTCCTCTACCCGGCAGGACTTAACAAGCAACTGCTCTGATAAGTATTGCTTTCAAATCCTTAAGTGCAGGGGAAATATTTTGAAACCCGGCAGAATTACAAAGGTGCCTTAATTTACTTGGAGTTTTATGTCTGCCACATGCAGACACTAGGTAGATTATTTAAAAATCAAAAAATTCAAATTCATGTTAAGCCAGAGAAAAGGAAAGTAATGAAGGAAAACCCAGCCTACTCTGGAAATATTGCTGATCCCAAATGTGAAAGTTCTTCATCTTCAATTGTGAAGCCATTGCAATTAACCTACAAAAAGAAAAAGGGAGAAAGAAATAAATGGACAAAATAAGAAGCAAGAGTTCCTTCAGGTACAAACCATTGTCTTTCTTTTTGACCTCTGTCACTAGAAAGAGAGTCTAATGAGCATCTTTCCAGTTCTGTCCAATGCTCCTTCCACAACACAAATGCACATCCTTTCTTTAAATATGATGGTTTTGCTGCTGACTCTAGTCAACAGGACATGTGCTTAAAGCTTCTTCACCAATAAGGGGGAGAGGAGAAGAAGCACTTTTCTACCTTTGTCCAAATCCTTTATTATCCTGGAACTTCATAAAATTTAAAAAAAACTGTTTAAAATCAGTGGGCCACTAGCTATGGCTTGGAAATATTTTGGTTCTATAGACATAGAGAGCAGTGTTTTGATGGGACTTCTTAACCTTACAGCTCAACGGTGGCATGGACTATTAAGAGGAGAGAGATGTTTCTGACTATTTTGACCTTGCCCCATTCCCCAATGACTGTGGCCTACCAGACTGGGCCATTTCTAGGCTGGAAATTAAAAAAAAAAAAAGAATCATGAAATTCACAACAGGATGACTTGCTTCTGAAATCCCATACTACCATTCATGATGCCCATGGCTTAGTAACACCTCTGTTAACTTCCAAAGCAGCAAGAACTTGAAGAGGTTCCATCGTTTACCTGCTCCTGTCCTCCTCCCAACACTTAAAGCCTTTCACCATCTGACTCCAGCATATCTTTACAGGCTGATTAGACACTACTACTCTTGGGCTTCGTGCTCTAGTCAAACCGACTGTTTGCTGTTTCCCATATCTGACATTTCCTTCCTCATTTGGGACTCAACTAACTTCTCTGCCTCCCAACCTCCCAAATTGTACAAGTCTGACCCTGACTTAGGTGACCTTGCAGAGTTTTCCCAGCTTTAACATTCCATGAACCTATCATTTTAGAACTCCACTTCTAGTCCTTCTCCTTTCCTTACTCTAGGGGATTCAGAAGGACAGGATTTTTCCATGATGGCAAGAGTCTCCAAGTTTCTTTCTAGGAGATCATGATGGGTTTTCAAACTCCAATTCTATAGTAATTTGCTTGGCAAATTCCCCTCCCCCATTGAAATACCCAGACAGAAGGAAAAGTAAATTTCACATATCAAATAAGAAGCATTGGCCATAATTATTTTTCCCCCATCTAAGTCAAATCAGGCATGCATGCCTTTGCTAAAGTTATTCTCATAATTAGCATTTAGACTAGATGTAGGCTGAGCACCAAAAATATATTTCCCAATGACGTGTATATTTGTGGTGATTAAAACACACCTCAATCCTAAGGAGGGAGTGTGGACATGTTCCACCGCCAGCTGCAGTTCTGCCAGCAGGAAGTTCACGCACCAACACCCTCTCCACACACTTATAGAAAGGAAAGAATCGGGAAGTTGGGATAGAATAAAAATGGGTCACTCAGAGCCAGCATCAGAGACAGAGAGCATTTACCTTTTTTCTTTTTTTAAGGATTTTCTTTTGAGATTTTTGAGAGTTCCCTCCTCTTTTTCTTTGCTTTAAACCACAGGCCAGAAGAGTATACTAAGCCCTAGATTGGCAGCAGCAAAATTTTTTTTTATCAGTAGACAATACAAATTTTGTATCACAGAAATGTTTTTTTTCCTTTTTTCACTTAAAAATGGCCATAAGATTACACTTCACCCACCTCCCCTTCTTGAGGTAGGACTGCACTTTTCAATCACTCCTAAAAGATGCATGTAGCTTGTTTTTTAAACAAGAGATTGGAGACTTGGGTCCTGACCTGCCATTCACTCTGCCCTAATCTCTTCCCTGAGTTTGTCCCATATCTACTACTTACTACCTACTGGACTCAACCTAGGTGCCTCACCAGGACCTCAGTTTCCCAATCTGTAAAACAAAGGGGTTGAACTAAGAAGAATTTTGAGGTTTCCTTCTTAGCTCCAAATCCATGATTCTGTAATCTTAGGTCCTACAATTCAACACAAACCCACAGGATTACAGATTTGGAACTGGAAGGGACCTTAGAGGTCCTCTACTCCAATTCTACAGATTAGGAAATAACGTCCAAAGAAATTAGCTAACTCACTCAAGGCACACAGGGTAATAAGTGGCAGAGGCAAGATTCAAACCCAACTCCTGTCTCAAACTGAACTCATTCTCTGCCTGTCTGCTCCCCAACATCCTTCTTTTGAGGGCATCACCACCCTTAGTCACTCAGGCTCAGAACCATGGAGTCTCACAACCAATCAGCTGCCAATTCCCTTTGATTCTACTCTGCATGTCTCATAACCATCACTTTCTCTCCATTCAAAACACTCTTATCACCATTTGCCTGGACTACTGCAGTAGCCCTTTTATTTATTTTTTGATATTTTAAAAATAAATTTTATTGATCTCTTTTGTTTTCTTTGTCTAAATTTCCCCTAGCATTCCAAATGATAAAGGATGTTTTTAAAGGGAAAAAAAAACCAGGAAAAAAATCAGCAAAATTAATCAAGACAAACAAGAAGTCTGAAAATATACGCCGTGTTTCACACCCAGGGACCTCTGACCTCTGCAAAAGAGTAGGGGGAGGTTTCTTCTCATCTCTCTGCTTCAGGGCCCAGCTTGGACTGGGTTTTGTTTTTTGTGGAATTCTGCAAAGTTCACTTCCAATTGTTTTGAGGCAGTATTTCTTCCTATCCAGACTGTTGTAGTCATTGTGTATATTATTTTCTTGGCTTGCTTATTTCACTCTGCATCTATTCAATGCAAGAGCCAGTTGGGGGCACAGCAGATACACTAATAGACCTGTAGTCAGGAAGATCCAAGTTTAAATGTGGTCTTGGATACCTACCAGCTGTGTGACTCTAGGCAAGTCATTTAACCTCTCTGTGTCTCAGTTTCCTCATTTGTAAAATGAGGGAAATAACAGCATCTACCTCTGTGGGCTATTATGAAAGGATCAAATGAGACAATATTTATAAAGCGTTTTGCAAACCTTTAAGTATTATATAAATATTAAGTTTTTCCATACTCTTCTCTATTTCATGTTCATCATCTCTTACTGAACTATAATTTTCTATTATATTCATGTACCTCAATTTGTTCAGCTATTCTCCAATTGATGGGCATTTACTTTGTTTCCAGTTCCTTGTTACCACAGAAAGTGCTACTATAAATATTTTGGTGTACGTGGCTCTTCCTTCTTATTAATTACCTCCTTAGGGTAGATGCCTAGCAGTGGATCCTCTGGGATAAAGGGTATGGTCATTTTAATCACTTTATTTGCATAATTCCAAATTGCTTTCCAGAATGGTTATACCAATTTACAGCTGTACCAACAATGCATTAATGTTCCTCTTTTTCCATAACCCCTCAAACACTGACTATTCCAATCTTTTGTCATCTTTGCCAATTTGCTGGGCGTAAGGTAAAACCTCAGGGTTGTTTTAATTTGCATATTTCTTATTATCAGTTATTTGGAGCATTCTTTCATATGGTTATTAACTGTCTGCAATTCTTCTTTTGAGAACTGCTTATCTCCTTTGACCATTTATCTACTGGGAAATGTAATTGCTTCTTAATTGGTCTCTCCTGGCTGCCAAAATAATCTTCCTAATGATTCTGACCATGTCACCCTCATGCTCAAAAACCTTCAATGACTCCCAGTTTCCGCCACGCTCAGGCTTAGCTAGCCTGACAACATAAGACCCTCCCCATCTACTTTTCCAGCCTTATTTCACCTTCTTCCCTTTCATACACTTTGTGTTCCAGCCAAACTGGACCATTAGTTGTTCCCCAAATTTGGCACATCCTCTTCATCTTCATGCAGACGCACCGGTCATTTGCCATGATGGAAAGCACTAACCTTCACCCACCAAAACTCTTCTCGTTTAGTTCCCCCTCTTCCAACAAGACTTCCCCTGATCCCTTTAGATGACAGTGTTCTCATCCTCAAATTTTCCAAAATATTTTGTCTGGATCTCTCCTTTGTCCCCTTATCTGTGTGTATAGTTTCCTGTCTAGTATAATGTAAGTTACTTAGGGGGAGGGACTTTATAATTTTTTAACTATCTATCCCAGCACCTAGCCAAGTGCCTTCATAGGGGAGCAAAAGTTTAGTTCAACAAACATTTGTTGATTAGCTAACTTTGTAACTTTGAGTAAGTGACTTTCTCCTCTCTGGACCTCAGTTTACTTCTCTGTAAAACTGAAGGAATGGACCAGATGATCTAGTCCCTTTCAGCTTTACAATGCTATAATTCCACAGGTTCCTATTGTGTGATACAATTCCTTCTCTCATAACCCTTAGAAAGATCTGATATATAAATTCAAAGTGAAATACCATGAAATATAAATTCATTATGGGTACTCTAAAAATATTTTATCATAACTTGAGCCTATCTTCTCTGGAAACCAAAACTTACCCCTCATTAGTATCTGTACCATCTCCCTTTATATAACTGAAGACAGAGGTTGAATTCCCACCATCCTTTTGTCTAGAAAGCTCAATTCCTTATACTTCTTCCATGTATTTATCTTCCAACCCTCTTTTAGATCCAATATTTGTTCCTTTTATTTTAAATTTTGATAATCTAGGATTTTGATAATTTAGCATTTCCCCCAAATCAAGAGAAGTGAGAAATAATTCCCACAGCTCATCATTCTCATCTCCTTGACATATTTTCTATGACAAATAACACAACTTTTAGGCGATCAAGGTAGGCTTCGCCCTTTAGTCACATCTTTTAAAATATAAGGGCAATTATCAAATATTTATTAGGCACCTACTATATGCCAAGTGCTGGGCAAGGCCCTGGGGACACAGAAATAAATTAACAGTTCCTGCCCTCAATCTCAACAGGAAGAAAGGAGAGAAACATTCCCACAAAATAAAAGTTTAAAAGAGAAATTTTAAACTGTCTTTGAATTGCATTCACTACGCCCACCCCCACCAAACCCACAAGATATGGGCTGTCACTATTAGTTTTTCATGTAAAACGTCTTCTCTTTCCGATTAGATGATAAGGCCTTTGAGGGCAGAGGTTGCATCTTATTTTATAGCACAGATCACAGTATCTGGAAGATGCTTAATGCTTGTTGAACTGAATAACAATAATGAATTTTATGCAAAATGCTATCTCTACTGTTTTTATACAATGCCTTTTTTCCCCCCCAAGACAGTCAAATCATGCCCAGATTATATATTTTCACATTTATTTTCACTGGATTCATCAGAGGCAGAGAGTATTTCTATTTTCATTTCATCCATGCGGAAAACCTGCCCAGAGTCACCCAGAAAGGTAGTCTATGCCTGTCTATGCTAGTTTCATTTGCAAAAACACTGTGCATGGTAGTGGTGGAGGGAGGGGGTAGTAGTAGTAGGAGAAAAAAAAGGTAAGAATGAGACTATTTGAACCTTCTTACCTGTGCAAAAAGTGTAACCAGGCTAGCATTGTCTGGGTATTCTATGTGCTTGGAATAAAAATGATGAAGAGCAGCAATGTCACTCTGGATCAATTCTCTCTTCTCATTGTCCAACTTATCCAGATCTATGGATAAAAAAAAAGATCCACGTGTTACCTGATTCGATAGGATGAAGACCTTGACATTCAGGCAGTGGCCTTCTCTTATTACTGTCAATGGCAAACAAAAGAGAACTCAAGGACACACAGGCCAGGAAACGTCCCTCCTGACCAATTTCTGTTCTCCCTTCTTGCTCAATTTCAAGGTCCCTTTAGGCCAACAGCACAATTATTTTCTAGAAAAAGAAAGTGGCTTATTATTTCCACCTCCTCTCCTAACCTGAAGCTACTTGTGTCCTGATATTTCAAAATCACCACAGCAACAAGAGACTGGAGTGTGAGTGGCAGGAAGGCCCTATCAAGTCAATAAACATTTATCAATCACCTGTGTGTCAGGTAGTGCTGGGCATACAAAGAAAGATAAAAGGCAGTTCCTGCCCTGGAGGGGCTCACAGTCTAACAGGGAGACAACATGCAGACAACTGTGTACAAACTCTGAGAGACAGCATAAATTGGAGATAATCATCACAAGGAAGGAATTAGTATTACAAGAATCCTTCCATATTAAGGAAGGTCTCTTCAAAGACTCCCAGACTCATACAATCATAGGCTCTTACACCGAGAACTGGAAGGCGCCTCTTCATACTTAGCAAGGTTACTAAATCCAACCTCCTCATTTCGTAATGAGCGCTGAGAGAGGTTAGGTGACCGGTCCAGGGTCACAGAACTAACAAGTGTCTGAGGAAGGATTCAAACCTAGGCCTTCCTGACTCTAGGTCTAATGTTCAATCCATTATAGCACCTTGCCTTTCATCAATCTGGCCAACATTAACTACAACTACATAGTTGCTCCCTGATGAACCTTCTTTGCACATCTGCTAACAACTTAATTGTGCAATGCTAGTAATCCAGTAAAGTAAGCTAAGATATGACAGAATCAGTGCTGCATTATCAGTTTTATGGGCTACCATTACTCCTTTTTTACTTCTTAATAATCCTGTTCACTATGGAGAAAGGCTAACTGGAAATTATTAAAAACAAGCAAGCAAAAAACAGGTAAGCAAAATCAGGTTCCTCTCCTGCTTGTCCGCCCTTACATTTATGGATATCATGGTTTCTAAGTTGGAAAAACTTAAAGGTGCTGGGACTTACGTGATTCAAACTCCTTTACGGCCAATAATTTCTCTGATGGTGTTCTCTCATGGTGTGTTTTCTAGTTAATTGGGAAAGAAAGTATACAGGTTCAGCTTTTGCCCTAAGTGCAAGATCACAGTTATAACTTTAAAATCAACACTCAAGACTTAGGCTTCAATATCATCCCCCACTATCTCTCACATGCTTTCAAATGAGGTCACTATACTGTTAGTTTTGTTTAATTGTTTTATATTGTTGCAAAAGACCTCTCAGGGAGTAGGGAGTGATCTGTGTAATGTTTAAAAAAGACACACACAACAAAAATAAAAACCACATCAATAAGACTTTTTTAAAAAGAGTTTTACGTAAAAATAGAGTTCTATCCAATAAAACCAACACTAACCCCAAACATACTCTTCTAAAATTGACCTGGTCTAGCCAGAAGTAAGACTATGCTTTCCCCCTCTTTTGTCCTGTCCCCTTGGTGCTCACTAGAGTGCAGACAGCAAGGAAGTCAAACTGAAGGAGGGAACGATGAAGGAGGAACATATCACCTTACTTTATGAAGGACAATGAGAAACCAGTGCTTAGCACAACACCTGGCACGTAGTAAATGTTAATAAATGCTGCCCTGATGATGACTTGATTTGACTTTTGGCCACCCAATAAACCATCAAAAGATCATAGGTTTAGAAGGAACCTTAAAAGCCAAAGTCCAATTTTCTCATTTTAGAGAGGAAGAAACTGAGGCACAGAGAGACTTTCCAGGGTCATACAGTTATTAACTGTGTGGACTGGGATTTGAATCCAGGTTTTCCTGACTCCAAGTCTAGTACCATACCCACTGATACCTCTCTAGATACTTATTTTTTCCACTGCTCTGACACAAATCTACCCCAGTTCCATCTGCCCACTGATCAAACTGGAGTCTTGCCTGAAGTAAATTTGGATTTCATATTTAAACAGAAACTCTTCTTATATGCAAAATAAAAATAGCTAATAATGCCTAGAATTTATATAGTTCTTAAAGGTTTGCAAAAATCTTGATAAACAGCATCTCATATGAATTGCACAACAACCCTAGGAAATAGGTGCTATTATGGAATGAAATAATATTTCTGAAAGTGCTTAGCACAGTACTGAGTACACAGAAGGTGTAACATAAATGCTTAAATTAAAATTGGGTAAATTATAAAGACCAAGGTTGGCCACAATGAAGACAGATGAGAAGAATATCATGCCTTGCTCCTTTGCAGTGACTGGGATTCACAGATGTGGAGTATTGCTTATAACATCAGATACTATATTGATAAGTTTTACTGACTTTTCCCCCTCTTTTTCATCTTTTTAAAGAGAAATTCTTTGTAATAAGAGATGGCTCTCTGGGAAGGAGAAGACAGAAAAAATATGGGGAAAATCTAAGTGACATAAAAACAAAAGATATCAATAAAAATTGATTTTAAAGGGATTTAAAAGCTTCAAGAATGACCTGATGAGCTCTCTTTTTTTGCCCCAAGTCCATTCCATTTGCTTCTACCATCTTCTTTGCCTAACTATACACACTACAACAAGGAAGTGATAGGACCCTGAAGGAGGTGGCAGGGGGGAAGAGAGAGATAGAAGCTTTTCTTGCAAGAGATTCTACATTAGGAAAGGGAAGCTTGGGATATCTCAAAGGATTCTTGGGAAACTCTGGCACCCCAGGATTCTTACATAATGAGCCAGACTCCTTAATGTACTTGGATGGTCACTAAATTCCACTGAAATCCTTTGAAGTGCTGCTGCTAACAGCTGTCGCTGCAATCTTGGTCAGGTTTTTGCCGTGCACTGACACCCATAGAGATGCTCCCACAGGACAAACAAAACTCTGTACTTAAGCTTTGGTTGTTTTTCCCCTTCAATGGCTTAATACAGATATGAATAGGAAACTGAGTTAAACAAGTTTTTACAAGAGCTGGGCACAACAGGTCAGCCACCCTTCTTCCTGACTTGTAACAAAGAAAGGACAGAACAAAATGGCTCTAGAATGTGGTCCTTTCCCTCACCTGTTTGGCCAGAATCCTTGCAGTCAGCCTCACAGTCTCGGAGGGATTCCAGTTTTCCCCAAACACACACATAGCAGAACACTCCAGCTTGTGCATGGGCCAATCTTCTTTCTGAAAGGTTAAAGACACCAATAATCATCAAAAAGGCACAAAAAACAAAAACCACAAAACAGAGAAATAAGGTGAAGGAAGAGAGGATGCAGTCAGTTCCCCCAGTTAAGGTCAAGTGAAATGTGTTTCCTTTTGGAAACCATGAGGACACTCACCAATGCTGAAGACAAAAACATCTTTTTAAGATAGAAAGAACTCTAACCTGGAGCTGGTCCTGACAGATGTTTGTAAAATGATGAAATTTACTTTGTGCTGTTTGCATTCACATCTTGTATATTTCTATGGCAACTTCGCTGAGGAATCCAGTTTACCACTCTGAACAATATACAATCCCTTCTCAATTATTCATTTGTTCAGTCATTTCAGTCACTTCCAACTCTTATGACTTCATTTGGGGTTAGCTTGGCAAAGACACTGCAGTGGAATGCCATTTTCTTCTGTAGCTCATTTTATAAATGAGGAAACTAAGGCAAACCGTGTTAAGTGACTTGTCCAGGGCCACACAGCTAATAAGCATCTGAGGTTGCATTTGAACTCAGGTTTTTCTGATTCCAGGCCTGGTGCTCATCCACTGTGCCCCCTAGCTGCCCCAATTATTCATACTTGCGGATTATTCAATTTACATGAAAAAACCATAGTCCCAAAATATCTTTTCTTTGCTAGCCAGACACCCCATTAGACCAGCTCCCCTTACAGCCAATACTCAGACTGTGGCAACTAATTTTAAATCCTCATGGAGGCAAAATGTAATTAGGAAAAGACCCGGATGAAAAAAACAACAACTCCCTAGTCTATACTAAGTCCATACACTAAGATTCCTCCTTAGACTCTTCATCATGGTTTGGAAACAGCCCTGGATTCTAGAATGCTATGTCAACACAGCACAAACTCTTGAAGGCCTTTTCAAAATGGACAGTGACAGATAGAATGTCTGTCATCTAAGCAGCAGACCAGCTAAGTCTGGAGGGGCTTCTCGCCAGCTGGCCCCAGAAAGACAAACTGCTGAGCCACCAGGGTTTCTCAAAGATACCCATTAGGGTAAGGAGAGGTAGCAATCTGTATTGCCGGAAGAAGCACCCTCACTATAAAATCACAGACCTTAAGTACTGGAGTACACATTCTGAAGTCTGAGAGAAATGATTTTTGTATCATTTGAAAAATATTTTATTTCACAGGACCATGGTTTTGGGTTAGCTATATCCCTGTTCTTATCACAATTAGAGATCAACTCAAAGAGACTTCCTAGGGATTTCCACCATTTTGTAAGTGAATAAGGGGAAAGGAACAAGAATTTATTAAGCACCTACTATGTGCCAGGCATGGTGCCAAGTGCTTAACAAATATTATCTCACTGAATAAAGATATGTGTGGGAGAACTTTCTCAAGGTTCCATAGAGAGTCAGAGGCAAATGAGAGAGGGAAAGGGAAACACATCTTAAGACACAGCTCTCCTGATTTTCTGTGAAGCCACACTTCATTTGTCCTTATCACCTGCATGTACCATAACCAGTGTCTCAGGCAAGCCAAATCCAGAAGTTATGTTCTTTTTGTACTTCTTTCCTGCACTATTATATAAGTGAGAAAAAATTCATGGCCTGATTCCTGCTATGAGCAAATAGGTTCATAACCTTTTCCCTCCTCTTCTTCTTGTTTTCCTTTTTTTTTTTCCCCCAAAGCCATGCCTCAGCACCCTAGCACACAGCAAGTGCTTGATAAATGTTTATTGGTTAAGATCACTCTGGAATGCACCCAATGGAAGTAACTTCTTGCTGTACCACATTCTGATTGGACACTTCCTCCCAGAACCTCCACTGAAGGAGAACACCCGAACCATCATATGTTCATTTCTCACAAGGTTGTGCTCTGGATTTCTTTTTTTGGCAAGGCAATCGGGGTTAAGTGACTTGCTCAGAATCACACAGCTAGTAAATGTCACCTGTCTGGTCTGGGACTGGATTTGAACTCAGGTCCTCCTGACTCCAGGGCTGGTGCTCTATCCACTGTGCCACCTAGCTGCCCCTGTGCTCTGGATTTCTCCACCATGTCCTGCGCACTATCTTCATCCCTCCCACCCTCTTTGCAGCTCTCTTTAGGTGTTGTGCTCCCCCATTAGAATATAAGCTCCTTGAGGGCAGAGACTTGCTTCCTATTTATTTTTGTATTGCCAGCCTTGAGCAGAGTGTCTGGCATATAATAAGAGCTTAATAAATACTTGCTGACTGACTGTGCTAACACTTTTAATCAAAGCAGAGGTCCTTAAATTAAGTATTAATCTTGGCGGAAGGGTGGAGTATGTGCATGTATGTGCGCATATTTAAAGCACAGTTAGTAGATTTGTTCATTGTTTTTCTCTGCTATAAACTTTATCCATCTGGCTATAGCTATAGCATGCACAAATACAAAGACCAGCTTTAAATGTCAGTGGATAGAGACAATTCTTATGGTTGTGCTTAGAAATGCCATCTAACCACTGATGACGCAGTACAGTGTTGTGAGAAAAAAGTCTCTAGACAAGGTCAAAAGACTTTGCTTTCCTGGGTGTGACCTAGGGCTTCTGATCCTCAGTGCTCTCATCTGTAATATACAGATAACAAACTACCCTACAGTAAGTACTGTCATGAGTAGCAGGGCAACGAGAGAGGGAGAAAGGAAAGCAGCAATTATTAATTAAGTGCCTACTATGGTATATGCTGGGCACTGTGCATACAGAGATTTTAAAAGCTTTAAAGAGTTTTATAAAATTAAGAGCTTATAAATATTATCTTATTCAATCCCCACAACAATCCTATACGGTAGGTGGTATTATTATGCACATTTTACAGTTGAGGAAACTGAGCAGAAATTAAGTGATTTGCCCAGGGTCACATAGCTAGTAAGTGTCTGAGACTGAATCTGAACTCAGCTCTTCCTGACTCTAGATCCAGCCCTCCATACACCGCGGCACTCAGCAGAAAAAAAAAAATTAGGTAAAGCACTACATCAATGTGGGCTATGATTCATTTTTATCACTCATATATAGTTGGTTCTAAGACATCTGAACACCCTGGTCATGAGAGAAGGCAGTTATGAATCCATTTTCTGTCCCATTATGGAATTAAGGAATACTCAGTTACCTAGGATGTACCTAGAATGGCAGTCACTTTTGGGATACTTGGACAAGAAAGTGGACAGGCAAGAACACAGGGAACCTCAGGCTTGGATCATGGGTACTGGGCAGAATGGGACAGTTGAAAGAACAAGATTTTAATTTAAATGACCTTTTTCAGTCTCTTCCTGCTCTAAACCTACATTCCTATGGGTGGATCCAGACTTTTGCCTTTTAAAGTGTGTATTAGGATATGGCAACGTGGGCGTCTGCCACAGTATTTTTGTCTACACTGTCTTCACTGTCTGCTATTTGGGAATCATCACTGTCTCTTTACAACTTAAAATAAGAGAGACTGATAGTGGCAGCAACAATTAATTGGAAATTGGGTTCTCACAAAAGAGAACCCAAATTATGGAATCAGTTCCAGATTTCCAAAACATCATATTGACTAGACATAGAAACTTCTAGATCTCCAAAGAAACCCAGACACTGTCAAGTTCTCAACAGTATTTAATGATTATTAATAGGGTAATATTCATAACTGGAAGAACTTTAAGGATATTCTAGCTCGTTTAATAGATGACAGAACAGAAGTCCAGGGAGTAATGAAGTGACTTGCTCAAGGTCATATACTTAAACCAAACTAGGTCTCCTGATTCTAAAATCAGTATTTTTTCCACGGTGATAAGCTGCTCCCTAGTCCCATTTGGTGCCAATCAAATTTTCTTTTTAGCCTAGAACTTGTGATTCCACTCATGTGGGAAACCTCCAATATGGAAACTCCTTCCATCAATGCAGAGTCTTTTATCTCCAATTGCTTACTGATATCTCAAGCTGCATGTTTCATAAACATGTCCAACATGAACTCATTTCCATTCCTTCTAAGCCCTCCTCGCTTCCTAATTTTTCTATTACTATCAGGGGTAAGGATGTCGGCATCCTTTTAGTCACCCAGGCTTGCACCATCCTCAACTCCTCAGTCTTTCCTCTCTCACATCCAATCTATTGCTCAGTTCTGTTGATTCTATCTTCACAACATCTCTCGTATTCTGACATTCCTGCCAACCTGGTGCAGGCCCTCATCACCTCACACCTAAATTACTGCCATAGCCTACTGGTCAGACTCCCTGAATCACTCCAGGTCAGCCTTCACTCAGCTGTCAAACTGATCTTCCCAAAGCCCAAGTCTGATCATGTCAACTGTGCGTTACTCTTCATCCCCTTCCAATAAGCTCTACTGGCTCCCTATCACCTTCAAGATCAAAGATAAAATGCTCTGTTTGGCATTCAAAGTCCTTCATAACCGAGCCCCCTCTTCCCTTTCCAGTCTTCTCAGACCTTCTTTGTATCCACAACACTTATCACAGAGCCTAGCAAATAGTACATGCTTAATCATTACTTGGGCAGCTGGGTGGTACAACGCATAGAGCGCCAGGCCCAGAGTCAGGAAGACTCATCTTCAAATAAAGCCTCAGCTTTACGAGCTGTATGGCCCTGGGAAAGTCACTTTACTCTGTTTACCTCAGTTTCTTCATCTGTAAAATGAGCTGGAGAAGGAAATGGCAAACTGTTCCAGTATCTTTGCCAAATGATGTCATGAAGAGTTGGACATGACAGAATGACAACACAACTGAACAATGACAATAGTCATTACTTGTTGGCTGACAATGAATATCAGCAATTTGTCTACAACTTCTATTATCAGAGAGGTTCTTGGGACACTGAGTATTGAAGTCATTTGCCCCTGAACCCACAAGCTAGTGGATGATAGCCACAAAACCACGGAATCTGGGAGCTGGAAGGACCGCAATGGCCAGCCAGTCCTGACCCGTTCACTGAAGGAAGAGAAATATACCTGCCAAGTGGTCATCCAGGCTCTGTCTGAAGACATTCAGAGATGGGGAAGCCCCCA